TTGCAGTTTGACTCTCAATCCTGAAAGGAGGACGAGTTATGGCGTCATTTGAAAGCCTTCCGAGCCACGACTTTTAGCGTTTTGTTGTAGTTTGAAAGCGAGTCAGACTGTTTATAGTGAGGGTCCAGGGTACGCAGTCTACACAATCGACCTATCATACGCACCGGTCTACCGTCCAAGTTGGTCGACCGTCAGATGCGGGGAATGAGCGCAAGCAACCGGTGCGGTCAGAGCCTGCGCCTAGGCGTGCCGCCACCATCTGCGTCACCATGTGTGGCAGTTGTTAGAGGTGTGCAGCTCGGCTAATGCTTTCCTTGCCTTAATATAGCCCTGCTGTCGGTCAAACGCATCTCCTGCGCAACTCGATGTCCGGGACAAGCTTCGCCCCGCACGCGCAGTTTGTGAGTTGATGTCGAGTTTCTACTTAGCCGGGTAGACTCATCGAGCCAGCCCAGCTGCCCGTGACCCTGATAATTGCCTAGGCATGGACGTATGTCTTTCTTCATTTTGATGAAGAGGCGTCCCTAAGTCGTCTGAATAAACAGAAGCCGCAGTTATGGCGTCGCTTTGAGAAACGAAACAGTAATAACACCTCACGTGCGATTTTCTCTATCCGTGGCAAACAATGCATCACGTTCCCCCGCAAAAGTGCCAGCAGTGGCCAGGACTGACCCGTTTTCAAGCCGGCATGTCAGTGTCCTGGGGGCCATGACTACGAGACCTGGCAGTGTGATTCAACCTCCGAGAGCGAAAAAGACGCCCCATTGAATAACTCTGTCGCTTTTTGTTTTCATACAAGGCGGCCAGAAGACGGCAGACGACTGGCTACTGGCAGTCGGATATGATTTGCTTAAATACTACGTAACTTCTGGAAATCGAGCTTGCGAAACTCAGATCAACGAATTCCGCGGTCTCCGATTCTCAATCGCAGATGAAAATAGCCCCTCGTGAACCCCTGGCATCGTCGCACTGTGTCCGCAGTTGCTTCTGCGTGACTCACAAGGAGGATCGTGTTGCCAAGGATATGTTTCATCAAGAGTAAGCTAAGATCGGCTGTTCCAATATCTAAACAGAAGGGTTGATGGGATGTCAGGGCGCCGAATGAAGTCGGTAATTCACGTCAACTGGCACTTCACCATTGTCGCAGAAAGTATGATTCACATAGTTTTCCGTGTGAGGACATGCGTCGGGAAAGATTTTGGGAACAGTTTGATGCTTCAAACCGGTAAGGGACATCTCGAGCTCTAAATTGCGATGCATGCCGCCACTGCCCTGAAGGTCAGGAAACACTGACGATTGCTAACCTAAGACGTCAGTCAACCAGCTTACACTGGAGTATAGTCGAGTAAATCTCCCCCGACGTAGGAAGGCCAAACATTTGCAGGTCATGTTAATTGTACGTCCATTCACTCTGGCATTCTGGCTTCTGTTTCATACCCCTCCCTTAAAGTACTCATGAACGAATTCAGGCTCTCCCTCGGAAAACAGCAGCACGTTTTGACCCGGGTCGATATGCGCTCGAACTTAGGATAAAATTGTATCATAATGACATTTGACCTTTTGCGCATTGACTGTATTTCGGGTTCCTATGATTTCGCGATTGTGGGGGTTCATCCTAATTTAGAATAATCCACTACATCTTAACAGTTAACAAAGTGTAATGCGTTTGTAGCGGATCCAATCAGTGATCGATAGATTGACCGCTCGAAATGGTCCTGACTGGCAACTGGCTAGAGCACGAGTTGAGAAGACCTCGGACCTCAATTCGTTAATAACACTGTGAGCCAAGATCTACCGCCCTGTGGACCGGACCTCTTTCAATGATAATCGGAAGCAGTCACGTCAAAAGAAAGCAGCGTTCGTCAAGAGACGACTCGTCCGCCGGAAGATGACACTTATGATTTCCCGCAGTAGGCCGGGGCAAAGACTACGGACCCCTCGTGCGGACCTGCCAGTTTGTAGGTGACACGGACCTTTTTGAGCTCTGACTTTTGAGACTCAGGCCCAAAGGAGTAAAAGACTTGATTCCCACTAGATCCACGTATGGGCAGATGAAGTTACGGGCGAAGTGGACGACTCCTCTAGACCGCAAAGCCTTCTTCAGCGTCCATTGCTTGAATGGCGGGCGACGAAGGATTAAAATCAATCCAAATTGTGGGCCAGTAAGTCTGAGATAAGATGGCAGAAAAATTCACCCCGCATTTCTTTCAAATACCCGCAGGATAAGCATTGTTTGGCCGGGCGAGAAGTCAGACGCCCCAATCTCGTGGATGAACCCATCATCAGCGCTTTGCAGCCGACGCCTCTAATCTTCCCACTCTAGACTATTCGCTGTCCATAAGCCATCGGAAGAAACGACTGGAGGTTAACGTGAGGAAATTAAACTTGAACTCTCTTTGCTCAAGTTACTGCCCGAAGAAGTCAGGCTGCCAATCAGAAGGGTGAAGCATTACAGCCTGGATAGCAGAAAAGACACAAGATAGCATATCCTTCTCATCAGCTGACGCAGAATGCAGGACGCCAAAGGTACTAAAAGCGACAGCAAGCATTCAGACACCTCAGGGCCATATTTACCACTTGGCTCAAGCGAATACATAGGATCTGTCCTCCGATGACGGGCTGCGACAAAGTTCGAACAATCAAAGGGAGGAATTTGCAGAAAATTTGCTACAATTTTATTCATTGGTTAATAGGACTATCCGTTAACGTATGCGTAGATCCATGTAGCCAGATCAAGAACAAAAAGAAACCCAGAGCACAATAGCAAAGAAGTGGGGAGGGGGTTTCATACAAGCGTGAGAGAGAGAGAAAGACAAATTGAAGACATTATTGGTGGTGACGATCAGCAAAAACCTAATCGTTGTCGATATCACAGCTAAAATCGGAATGAAAAGGCAAACAAGGTGAACTTAGGTTTGTGACAACGGAAAAAATGGTGTAAATCCTTTGATATTTACATCCAAAGACGGGCAACTGCTAAATAAAGCACAAACTTCAGGGTTCTTTTAGCTAGTAACCTAGGGAATCAACTAAAATTTCACGCCGAATAACATATTCGAGATGGATAATTAGTCAGGATAGAACACGGCCTTACTGAGCAAAGACGGGATCAATTTTCTAAGGCAGATAGTCCATGTGGCTAAAGACACCAACTTGACAAAACCCAGAAAATAAATTAACGATCTAGCACTAAGATAGAGATTTAACAAGCTACCACTTTGCCCTTAAAAGTGGGAAAGGGGGAGAGTTATCATACCATTTAGGCTACCTCACACAATTTCGTGCATTCCTCAACACATGTAGTGTAATAGGCCTTCTGCTCCGCGGCGAACTGCTTGAAGGTGTCCTTCAATTTCTCCTACAAAGCAAACAATTGTATTTTGGAAAGATGGAGATCGGAAAAACAATCACGTCCGCTGTGCGAGGGAAGCAGTGTAGGTTATTTCAACGGATGGCCGTAGTTAGGTTTGGGTATCTTACAAACGGGCAGACCTTCAAAAACAGTCTACAATAACTAAGCCCTGTAAGAAACAGAGCAATTCGTTATTCACACAGAAGCGGTGTCCACGGATCGACGCCGGTTGCAGGGTAGATAAACGACGCTCCATTCTCTGCTTGGGACTCCGGTCAAGAGCCCACGCAGATGGTTTCATGAAGACGAGACAATGAGGCGCTTTCTACTGACCCAAACCCAACCGCATGTCAAAAAGACTCTAGTTTCCAGTCTGAATTTTTTGGTAGCTGAGCGTCGAACCCAACGCCCTATTAGCCGCAGTTGTTGGGGGGTATGGCTGATTGGTAATGGCTAGAAACCCAGCAATTGCAATCCCAGTCCCACTAGTTTCCAGTGCTGCTGGTCTCAATGCAGCAGCGTGACCAAGGTTTCCCTGATCACTATACATTGTGCAAGGCCTTGGGCGGAACTCGGACGAAAATTCATGGCGTGGAGAAGTATTCAAAGAAAGAGAAGCAGACGACAGGGCTGTTCTGCGTGGGAAAAACACCCAGCTAAACTCCGCAAGCCGCGAGAGTTGGTGTTTTGTAAACGAGCAGTATACACTTCCTAGGACGTGAACTGCTGTCCGTAAAACTGACGTTCCAGAGCCGTAAAATAACTTACAACCTCGCGGTGTTGATGCATCATTCCAAAAACAGAATGGCAAAAAACCGGGCAATACATCTATGCCAGCAGGGGCATTTACTGTGTGCTCAGTTAACACCTCCCCATGACTACAAGGTGGGTGTGCGTATGCAAATTTTCAAGAGGTGGAGGAAAAGTAACCTCCCGTAGAGCACGAGGAATCAGGCTCGAAGTGAAGAATCTGATGTTCATCTTGGTAACAATGCTTCTTGGTACGAGAGTTCGCCCGCAAAGCCAAAAGGAGCGCATATGCTTTGACAGCAGTACGTCTTCTAAATTGCACGAGCGTCCCAACTTCCGGCACCGGAAGCACAAATGACTAATGGCCAAGCCAGCGCCAACGTAAGATCGCGAAGTAGTGGGGAAACGAAAGACCAGCGAGTGGTGGGAGGCCTTGAAATCGGCACGAAGGTCGGCAGCTCAAAGGCAAGCAAAGTAAGCGGCGACTCCAAATTCACCAAATGCAGTGCTATGTGCACTGAGGCCCGCGTTATGCCTTGAGACTGAGCTTAAAGTGTTGTAAGGGGCTTAATTTATTCAGTATAGGTGCCCTGTGAAGTGTGCAGTCTACCACAAGCAAGCCGAATAGAGGATTATCGTGACAAATCTGTGCCCAGCTCTGCGATCGACTGTGCCTCAGCTTTGCAGCAATTACCCTAACCTTTTTATGTGTTACGCCCTCTCCGAATCGGAATATTTATTGGCGTTGACCCACGCATACACCAGTACACAAATAAAAAGATACGCAAAATATAGTCTGAGGGAAAACATGCCCAACCAGACAGATAAATACTTCTGTCAAACAGAATCCAATTCAAGGAAGTCACAAACGTTGTAAAAATACGTACAAAGGCATCATGTGTATCACGCAGCATCGTAGTCGTTTCACCCTGCTCTCTGTTGTAGGTAGCCTGGAATTTCTGTACTTCAGCTTCAAACTGCAAAGATAAAAAAAATAATAATCGCACGCCGAAATGTGTGAAGATATCGGTAAGCATAACGGCATATAATAGCAAATATATGGGGTTCGCGAGTCGGTTTCCAAGAATGCAGCAAACGTCTATTCTTGGCTGACTAGAGGCTTCGCTGAAAATTTTCACGTTTTGTCCTTACCTTGGCCTTGTTTTCTTCGGTTTTGGCATTCTTCAGCTTAGTTTTAGCGGAGTCCAAATCCAGACGTGCCTTTTCCATCTCATCTTTCTGTTTCTGTAAGAATAACAGTACTATGAGAGATCCAGTTCAGTATTAATATAATTAAATAATAATTGTACTAGCACCCACGTGCACGAATATGTTTTCAAACCACAGTTACGTGAAAACGCAGGAAACTCCAGTTACTACCAGAGAATAAAAACGCAAATTTCCGAGGCGCGTCCAGTTACAATGCTACTACTAATATCTTACCAATGCCGCGGCGAGATCAATATTTACAAAGTCCTTCAGCACTTTGAGGAAATTCTGAGAAACGTTCTCATTGAACTGTTTCTTGGCCTCTGCCATGCGCGCATGCGCTGATGCCGATGTAGTAAGGTAGGCGCCTAAACAAAAAAGTCAAATATTGTCAAGAGAAAGGCTGCGGAAGTGCTGAATGAATATGCTGGAAGAAACGCAAAAGTCATGACTTACTCATGATGGGAAAACCGGTAGCCTCTTCGCCAACAGTTTTGAAGGCTGTGCTAACTTTGTCAGAAGATGTAGTCTTTTCCTTATTTTTCGCAAAGACATCAATAACCTTGGTTGCTAAAAGAAAATGAAAAATAAATAGTAGAAAGGTGTTGCTGTCATCCTCAAATGCCAAAGTAGTCTTGAAAAAGAATGGACTTTGTCTCAAAAAGTTTACAATGTTAAGTGGGGCGTAAAGTTGTGTGTATAGGTGAGGTTTTGTCATAGAGAAATAGTGACTTGGTGGGTTGTTTTCGGTCTCTAATAGTTTACTTGAGGTAACGTGTTAGAACTACGTCTGCAAGATAAACCGACAGATATTGTAAGGGAAATACCAGCTGTTTGAGGGGCGCACACACAAACCTAACCTCGGTCCCAGTAGGCTCAAAAACATGTAGAAAGTTAATTCAATGACAAACATATGTTAAAAATAAAAAACACATCCAGGCTTAATCCTAAACATTCTGGGCTTGAATGCTGGATAAAACGGCGGATGATTTGCTTTACCGACAACCCCAGAGAACACTAGACTTGTCTAGTAGTTTTTTCAAGAAAAAATCAAATTCAGAAATGAGAAACACGGTGCTAATAAAACAAATCGGTAGGAGACATAAAGGAAGACGCTTCCTTCATGGAAAAGTGTATAAGCGATTTGTGTTCAAATTAGGCGGTATCCTGATAACAAATTATCAACCACATATTTTTTAACTCCAGCAACAGCGTGAGTATAGACGAGATGCAGTTAAGTAAAATTCGAAAGCCGACAAGCAGAAAGTGCACGTGAAGTAGGCGAAGGAGACGAAAAATAAGCGTGGTAGTGTAATGTGAGACAAAAATTATCGGAACGTCAGTTTGCTGGTCATCCCATAATGAGGGAAGTGTAATTCATGCGAAAAGAAAACTAATTGATATCGCTAAAAATAAGGTAAAATAAGGCAGACATCTGCGGCCGATGGATGGTGATTATGATCTGACGGCAAATGCATGATTCACTTTATCGCCTAGGCACCATCAAGTTACCAATTCCCCCAATAATCTTCACCTATAATCATAATCGAACACAGCGACGAAAGTAAATGCCACATAGATTGCGCACCAAATTCAAACATACAATCTTGGTGGCCACTGCAGCATGACGCTTGGACAGGGCTTTAATACCAAACCGCCAATATATCCACGCGCCTAATTTGCATGCTGATCCGACAGCCGATATAAAAACTCCACCGTCGTTATGATGCAGCAGAGCACCGAAAACAGGCTAAGGAGAGTCCGGCCCAATAAAACAGCCCAAGCAAGTTGTGTAGAGTTAAAGAATGTTAACCGCCCTCAAACTGCCCAGCTAACCTAAATTCGGCCGGAGTTTCGGTAATATGGATGGCTTGCGTAAAGGTACGGGAAACAAGGCTTAAACACGGAGTTTGCAGGGCTATCAGATTTTTTTGGAACAACATGCAGGCTGCGAATTTTTGTCAATTAATGTAAAGTGCCACAGCCTTTCAAAGACAAATTTTCTCGAAAAACAAAAATCTACCAAGACTATGCATTTACTTCGTTTCCAAGGGGACCTAGTACGATGGCTCGAACAATATATCGCTTGCGTATAATTTCGCGATCTCCGCTGGACGGGGAGACACGCGTACAAGGGAATTTTTGAACTGTTAATCTAGGAGTTTTTAGAAGGCTATAGCTCGACCGTTTGAATAAGTGCTTTCGGCGTAATGAGCGTAAAGGACTGGATACATATATCACATATGGGATAATCCCATTATGGCGTTATGGGCGTACGTGACAGTCTAAAGCATAGAAATTCACGGGAAAAAGCATCACATTTAAAAAGGAGAAGCATGGAGACAAACCTGCGGTTACATCAACATACTGTTCGACAGCTGAGATAATCTGGTTACACCAGGGTTTCATTTTATCCAACTGGGCAAGTAGCTCAGCCGTTTCCGCCTGAGGAAGGGTTTTGTCCGCCTTCAGAAACGATTCCCCAGCTTTCTGTGCACAGTTAATTTAAGGAACGAAATTATACCTGTTGCAGGCGATTGAAGACACTGCTAATATTCGACATCGCGAAGTCGGCTGTGACGAACGGCGAGCTAAACTGATTTGCTGCGCTTTTGCTGCATACGCATTAACTGGAGCAGATAAACAAAATTTAAAAGCCGACTTCTTCTCTGACTCTGGGGTAAAGACTTAATTTAAGAAATAAGCACAGTGTTCTTAGCTCACTGTCCACTGCTAATACTTTATTTGGGGGGAACCATCAGTGCATTAAACCGAATCAAGAAAAATAGGTATTAAGCTCGATGCTTTAGTTAAGACTGATGTTAGTAAACGGGTTGTGCTCTTTGTTTAAGCAATGAATAATCTGGTGCAACTAGTTAAATAAAATTTGCATGCGTTTGACAACAAACCCAGCCTGCATAGTGAAGGACTGAATTAATTTAATTTAATTTATTAAATGCCAGTTTACAGGCATTGTCAAGGGAAGCGATTAAACACAAATCGGACCAGCAGTGCAAAAAAACTCCTGAGGAATAAAAATATAGTTGATGGTGGTTTTTATCATTTGGAGGGTTCAGGAGAAAAAAACTGCTGGCGGTAGATTTTCGGCCGTCAAGAAGCGGGGGGTTGCACGGTATCGGAGATTATCGGACGTCAATTCCTTTCATGGAGTTGGGGATAGTCAAAGTAGAGGCGTTAAGGAACAGCTGGTGAGACCGGCCATAGTGTTCAGAGACCACAAACGCCATCGCTACGGTAGAGTCGATCAGCAGACCAAAACGATACAGTGAAGGCTGGTAAAGGTAAGGTCAAAACATGAGGGCAGTTGTGAATACGGCAATATCAAGGCGAAAGAGATATTTAACCGCATCAGCGCTTTGATAATGCTCAATTTAATAAATGGGATTGGTGTCTAATTTAGTATAGTTTTGCGAACTTAACGGTTATGAACACTGTCTTCTGAGACTATCAAAAACGGTACGTACCATATTCGAGCAATATTACGCATGTTACTACATTGTTTTCAGTAACTTTTTCAGGTTTCAAAATACTATCGAGACTGTGGAGACTGAGAGACAAGCACCAGTATGCTAATATATATCCCCGTTAGTGTTAGGTTCGACCAAATCGTCGGTTCAGTGCAACAGTGTTGAGCAACTGAGCGGTATTTTTCAGGCAAATATGCGTCCAGTATATGTTTAGATGCCGCCGTGGTGTCCGCCATCGCTATGTCGTCTGGCGATCCATTGCAGGTACTGGAAACTCGGTGCGAAAAGGGGTATCTGCAAACATCCATAAGCGATAAGGGCCCTGGGAGTTTGTGGGAATTCCCACCCGGCTCATATCCTGTGACGAATGAGAAGAAATCCCCGACATCAGGGCAAACTCCCTATTTCTCACAAAACGGTGCGTCTGTACGAGACCCTCTCGGATCTGCCTGTACTCAAGGGAGAATAGAGTAACTTCAATATCTTGCATCTGTATGATAAAATTCTTTGGAACTTCACGATGTTAGCCATCTTCATTGAAAATTTTTCCAGGAAATCATGATCCCTTTTCAGATAGGGGGGCGATGCCATTTTTCAGTATGTCAGCTGTGAGC